CTTCGCCCCGCTACATATGGGTTTCGGCGAGCGATCGGTTTGCTTTCCTAGGGTCAAGGCAGTCACCCAACAGATATGGGTGCATTCCCCCATGTTCGAGGGGTGATTTAAGGGCCTTTTACACTTTTAGGGGGACCTTCTTTGTTATTTTTTGTTGCATGTTCAGGTTCACTACATGTGGGCCCAGAATCTAAGGCTGCATTTTGATTGCTGCAAGGGGGACCGGGGCCCCCGGCTAGATTCCGCACAGCTGGGTGCTAAAAATGCCACACAGCTCGGAAGCGGGCGGTTTTTGTTTTTGTTCTTTTCGTCTATTGTCCAGCTTATTTTAGGGGTGCTACTTTTTCCAGCCCCTTATTTTGGGCCCTCCCGTGTTGTTGCAGCCCCTTGTTTTGTCTATGGTCTATTGCTACTTTTTCCAGCCCCCCCCCTCCGGTTCTTTTTCCAGCCCCCCCCCTTGTTTTTCAGGGCTCCTCAAAAGATACATTTAACCATGTGAAACCACCAAAATGAAGGGAAACCACCATGTACAAGGCACTGTTCAGTGTTGTCAAGCAAGGATCCCGGTGTTGGTGGCGTTTTTTCCACGCCTCCGGGGCGGACCTGCGCCACGGGTCTCTCGTCCCTCGCAAGGCCTGCAGCGAGAAGCACTTCCTGGCGCTCACCGCGGAGGGGGTGGTGCACAGCTGCGGCAGCGGCCTGGCCCAAAACCGTTTGTGGATCGTACACCAGGCTGACCTCATTTTTTTGGTTTCCCGTAGGTGAACATTGGTACCATGCCAAGCCGAGATGGCTGTGGGTGTCAAAACCGTTTTGGGATGCCATTTTGGGGTAGGTGCAACTCCGTTTTAGTCGATTTTAGTGGGGATTGTTCTCTGTGCAAACCAGTTTGGTCCAGAGTGATCTGGCTGTGGGTTAAAACCGTTTTGGGATCCAGGTGAATTCACTCCCCATTTTAGAACCTATTTTAGTGGTTGGATTGGGATGTTCACTGGGGGTACGGAGTTTTGACCCATGGCCATTTTTTTGGCGTCGTCTGGGGGTCGTTTCTTTGGGGGTACAACTTGGGGTTTGGAGGGGCTAGCAACAAAAAGCCGGTAGTTCAAGAAAGATGTGTATGTACAAGATCATGTTTTGGATCGGTGCAAGGCCGTTTTGCAAGTGCAATGTGTCTGTTAGGATTTCCTGAGTGGCAACGATTGCCGGGGGGGTACAACTTGGGGCTTGCAGGGGCTGGTGAAGAGGCGGGTGGTAAAAAGAAGACTTGGGGTCTTAAAGGTTCTTGGGTCGTAAAGACTAGGGGAGCTTTTTGGGGAGACCGCCACGAAGTCCGGAAAAGCTTACCGACTTTTGGGCGCGACCCCGTGGCCGGATTTTTTCTTTGGGGCGATGGCCAGACGCATCCCAGGCCGAGGGGTGTTAATTGTGGGTTTTCCCTTGAACTCACTCTGAAAGTTAAGCCCTCCCAGCAACTAACATGGGTCTGTGCAAAAAGGCCAGCTAGCCAAGAGGAAAGTCGTGTTTCTGCAGGGGTCTGTGCGCTTGCATGGAATCGCTGGTGGGAGGGTAAACCCTCCAACAACAGACGCGCTCATTTGCAGCTCGCCACCCTTTTGGAAGCCGGATCACCGGATCGACTCTCCGCGAGGGATTCGAGGCTTTGGCAAGTGAAGGCCTTGAAGGTTCCTTGGAGGAGTCCTTCGTGGCTGGCGAGTTATGGTGATTGCGTGTCAGGTTGCCACCTTGGATACCAAAGGTGTATTCCGGGGCCACTTGAGACCTCCTATTAACAACCTCAATTGTGGTAGCGGAGCAGGTTCTCCCAAAGCAGGTCAAGCTATGGGATGCCCCCCTGAACTGGGACAGTGGTCATGCACAAGAATCCCCACTTTGGTGTCACAGAAAAGGGCAATTTTTCCACAACCATGGGTGACTTGGCGCAGAGCCTTGTCCGTGGATTTGCCATGTGTTTTCCCTTTCGTGGGTGACGTTCAGCATCACTCGTTGGTTGCCGACGTTACGAGTGAGTCTCACGAGTGGATGAATCGATGTTTGAGTTGGGTCATGGTGCTGTGGTCAAATGACCTGTGCTTTCGGGTTTCCCAGTGACTGAACGCATAACGCATTTTCATGGCTGGTTTAAATGGGCTTGTCCGATGGATGGGCATCCACCTCAAAGGCATGGGACCAGCGTTTCTCAGCTGTAAGCAAATCGACTTCCTGGAGGTTTCAAATAAATAGGTAAATACATATATATATATATATGTATGGATATTTTTACACATTGTTTTAATGTATACACATATATATATATATATATGTATATGAATACCCATACGCGTTCTATGTCGGTTACCCCCACACCCCCCCCGGTTCCGTCAAAGACTCGCCGGGCTGAAGGCAGGGGCGGTCGGCTGAGGCAATAGCAGCGGGCAGCTGGGGCCTGGCCCCCAGATTCGCGAGAGATGGCATTCCTTGGTGCATTTTGCCAAGGGATGTTAGGACTGAAGAGCTTTTTGCCAACGAATTTGGGTTCTGCGTCAAACCACTAAAAGTTAAAATCTTTTAACCGAGAATTGGCGGCTTTGCTCACGGGCTGGGCGGCAGCTTAGGTTCTAGTACTCATGAGCCTAGCCGGCGTGTGGCTTGAGTGCGAAGTTCGCCTACCATTTTTCTGCGAACCTCTGAAGACGCAAACGTCTTCTTGAAAGGAAGTCGTGGGCTCAGCCCTTCTCATTTTGCTCACCTCTCATTTCATGAGCGGGGGGGGTCCCTAGCTATGGCTTCCAACGCTGCCACATGACGCCTCAGAATCTGCGGGTCTTGGGCGTTTGGACTTGGGGACTGGTCGGCTTTTGTGTATCAAAGGATCCCCTCCCTCTCGACTACACCATTTCATGACGACACGCCCGCATTTTGCAGCTTTTGGCTTTCCAGTATTCCCCATGCTAGATAACGTTTGGACGATTGGCAAGTTTAAGAGATTCATCCAGAATCGTGGGCTCTCTCCAGTTTACAGAATGGTGCAGTGGTTGGGGAAAAGCACATGATAATCGCTATTGGCCCTTGAAACATGGGTATGTCTTTTTTTGAGGGTTCCCTTTTTGGCTTGGTGAAGCCCATGCCTCACCGGAATTGGGTAATCAGGAAAAGAAGGGTCTAAGGGCCATCTCCGAGTCTCCCGCCGGCACAGAAACGTGGAACACCGAAAATGTGCCCTGTGGACCCAAGAACTTCATTTCCAGACTCCGACTTCCCCGCCCCCCTTTATGTGCCAGTCAGTTGATGGGCTTTCCTTGCAAGGCTGGGGCACACGGATTTCAACCTGAAGATGGCGCCGGTCGTGCTGGACAAGATGGGAAGCAACCGCCCGATGCCAAAGTTGTTGTTTTGTTTGGTGGGGTGTGGGGTGTGGGGTGGGTGGGGGTAGTGGAGGAGCGAATCAATAGCACACACGAAGAGACACCATGGCTCCCCTACGATCATGACTGAATTTGGCTTTGAAGTACCCCGCAACCGCATTCCACACACACAATCTCGCCCGCTCTAGTCACACGAGACCTGGCAAGACCCGACATGCCCGGGAGCCTGGCTCACGAGTTCTCTTGCCAAACCATGGTCATTTTGATCCCATTGTGGCTGGTGGTTGGAACCCCCCTGGGCGAAGAGTCTTCAGCAGCATGTTTTGGGGCTTGTCCTATGGACTGGCAAATCTCACGGGAACGTACTGTGGATGCACGAAATCCTAGTTTAAAACCATGGTTGAAAGCATGGTTTGTTGGAGTGCCACTTGACGTACCCTAACCTACTGGTGGATGAAATCCATTTCGCACGCTCTTGGGTTTCCACCCTTGCATCAAGCCTTGTGGCAAAAGAAGCCTTGTAGATTTGCGCTCATGGCCAGGCTTGGGCGTCCTCCCAGCAAGGTTCAATCCTTGAAACACCCTCTTGTTTCCCCCACGCCCAAGCAACTGGTTTCTTCCCCTTCCAGCTTGTTCTTTGCTGGCCCGGTACCCAAATTCCAAGCCAGCGAAAAACATATATAAACAAAATACATAATAAATAAAAAAGAAACAACGGCAGCGATCTCAGCATCCTGGTTTGGATTGGCGTTCCTGTGTTCCGATATTTTTTTGCGCTCCAAGCAAGCAAATCACCTATCAGCCCTCTTGGTGTGGATTGGATTGGTGTTCTCCGAGTTTTTTCCAGGGATTCAAATCAAAAACACCTATCAGCCGCCCTCTTTGTTTTTTGGATTGGCGTTCCGGTGTTCCGAAAATTGTTTCAAATCTCCAGCCATTTCTCCAATTGGTTTGGATTGGTGTTCCGTGTTCCGAGAACTGTTTTTCTTCCAGGGCTTCAAATCTCCAGCCACCAACTGGGGGTCAATTTCTTGACTGCTATTGGGCAACGGATCTTTAGACTTTAACTTGTTGGTCGAACTATTGCGGTGTTTTCCGTACTAAACCACCCGAAAAGTTGAAGAACAGCTTTTTTTTGCAGGGGGGTCAACTTGCAGCAACCAAGATTTGCCACTTCTCCAATTGGTCTGGATTGGTGTTCCGTTTTTTCTGGGGCTTCAAATCTCCAGCCACCAACTCGGGGGTCAACTTGAGCGGGGGTGAACAAGCACCAAGAGGTTAACACACTCATTTTCCCCTGGTTTTCACCTCTTTGCCCGGACTTTTCTCCTTGCAGCAGCCAAGATTTGAGCCAATCCTACGCCAACCCCACAGCCACCAGGGGTATTCGAGCCACTTTCGGGGTCTTTGAGCCTAAAATCTCCAGGCACCAACTGGGGGTTAACTTTTTGGGAAACAAAGGTGTTTTCCACTGAACCCCCCAAAAGTGAAAAGCTTTGTGCAGGGTCAACTCGCAGCAACCAAGATTTGAGCCACAGAGAACTCTCCAAGATTTGCCACTTCTCCAATTGGTTTGGATTGGTGTTCCGGTTTTTTCTTTTAAGCTTCAAATCTCCCGCCACAAAAACACACTCGGGGGTCCATTTGAGCCACAGAGAACTCGGCGTCGCGTGGCGTCGCATGGCTTCGCTGGAGCTTCACTTGGCGGGGCTGGACGGCCGGGAGCTCCAGCTCTCGCTTGCGCCGGACGCGAGGGGCGAGGAGCTGCAGCGGGCGGCCAGGCGGGGGGGAGAACGGGTTAATGGGGGGCCGGCAGGGGTCGGCGGGGGGCCGGGGGGGGGGGGGGGGGGTTTCTTTGGCGTCACAGCTCACCTTCAGCTTCTTCTTTTTTGCATTTTTTTTCTTGTTACATGTTGGGAAGTGTTTTTTTCCGCTTTTTTGTTGGACGAGTTCAGACGTTTTGGGCCGCACTCCGGATTCGGGAAGCTTCGGGGCGCTTCGGCGCTTCGGGGTGAACTTGCTGCCTTGCCAGCGAGTGTCATTTCGAGTGCCAAGCTGGGGCCAGCGGCTTGCTCTTCGGGTGAATGGGAACCCTGGATTCGTAAACCCATGTTTATGAATTAATGCTGTGGATGCGAAATCCATTTCGCACCGTGCAGAAACCCTGGAACCGTGATTCCCCTGTAAATACCAACAAACAATTATTTCCCATGGTTTCTAAGTGGTGCAATTTTTTGTCCATCCACAGGAGGGGGGTGTTCGCCTCTTGCCAGCCGTTTTGCGAGCAAACAAGCGGGGTTGTTTGGACCCCGAAGGGGAACCTCACGACTTGCTGGCTCCCAGCCATCCCCTTAGCGTTCTAGCCTTTAATGTTTAGTGGTAGTTTCCATTTGACCTACTAAAAGTTAAACTTTGAGCGGGGGATCTGAGGGCAGCCCAGACGAGTGACAGGTTGTTTGTTTTTCTCTGCCCAAAAGTGATCCAGGTCCCCTCCCATACGAAAGCCCTGCTGGAATTTCCGCTAGGGCTTTTGCAACGAGGCCTGCATGATTCGAATGAGGAAAACTCACTGTTCGGCCAATGCCAAGTGCCTGGATTTTCCCCTTGTGGGTGTGTGTCAACAACTCGCGCAGCTTCCCCGGCTCCCCCCAAACACCACCCCACTAGGAGCATCTTCCAAGAAAGGCACCCCCACCCACTTCTCAGCATGATGGCCCCCTTCTGGTGGATAGTTGGTTGTGGGTCAAAACCTAAGGTGCCTTTTTGGGGTCCACTGTCTTTTTAGAAGGCTTTCTGGGTGTTCACCGGAGAACCGGGGCTTTGACCCATAGCCGCCATAGCCAGTTAAAGGGCGATCCAACGGAACCCACCCCTCGGTTCCGATGTTCATTGTCTTCCATTTGCTTAAGTTTTGTTTTTCCACCTGTGGGTTTTAAAGGGAATCTATCGCTAGTGGGAATATTTGTAGTTTTTTTCAGGGCACCTATCCGCAAATGGAGGCTTCGGTCGCTTCTGACCGTGGGTCATCTCCAAATGGAACCAGACGTGTTTTTTTTGTTTTCCCCTGGTTCGCTTTCCTGTGCTCCTTGGGTTTCTCCTTGGAACCATTCTTAAGCAGGGCTCCTTAAAAGATACATTTTTGCCCATTTGGAACATGGCTTTTTCCACCCAGACAAAGGGAAACCACGATCTACAAGGCAATGGTCAGGTGTTGTGTAAGGATCCCTGCTGGATTTTAGCCAGGGTTAATGCCAAGGTGGCCAAGGTGATTCCCAACGACCCAAGCCGGGCGGGGAGGTGGCTTCGATCTAATTTCTAGGTCCCCCGCTAGGTGGCCCTTTCTCACCCCGTTTTTGGTTGGGAGGGTTCCCCTATTAAAATAGACTACAGAAAAAAGTCGGGTACCCTTATTAGGACCTGGATTTCGAACCATTCGGGGATATTGGAATGGGAGTCACCGGTTGGCCCCTTTTGAAGAACCCATGGGTTAGCCTCTTTCCAGGGCAGTTGCGGGCACTCCCTCATATGACTTCGTTGAGTTTGGCAACCTGCAATCGGTTTGCAAATGGATAGGTCGCAGCTCGGGGGCTTGCCGGGGCTTGCGCTGAGCCTCTGGTTCCAAGGCGCCCGGGTGCTGCCCCGTGAGCGCTTGGGCCGCTTCGACGCACCATTTTTTAGATATATATATATATATACATTTGGTTTAATATTTATTTATTTATTCATTTATTTATTTAGTTAGTTATATATATATATATACATGTTTATTTGGGCACCTTTTTCGTGGCCTTGCTGAGTCAAGACCCTGGACGCGACGGCAGAGAGAGAGAGAGAGATTTATGTATTTATATTTTTTTGCATTTTTTTGGGGAAGGGACGATCCCCTTGCCAGAAATAGAAGGTATGATCCGCCACCTGTTTCTAGGGGTATCTTCCATTTCCATTCTTTCCAGGGATCCAAATCTTTTTAGGAAATCATCGAAAACCCAGGGGAAACGGATCCGGTGTTCGAAAAGAACGATAGTTGAAAATAATGGGGAATCAACCCCTAGAGCGTTTCCCGAGCGTACTGGCATTTAAAGCATCGCCCAGGATTGGGGCACTGGCTTGGGAGGGCGGGGGGTAAAACAAGTCACGCCGCAACTAGAGGCCCCTCTGTTTTCGCACCTTTTCAGGAACTCCTTCCTCTCGGATCCAGCATGACGCCTACTTGTTTGTGGCTAGCTTCCATAGGGGCTTCCAAACAAAAGCCTGACCAAAAAGACCGGCTTTCGCCATAGAGGGCCACTGCCAATTGGAGGTTACAGTATCATCCCAAATCGTGTGCTTGAGTCCCGAAATATTTCGCGCCAACCAACTGCAAACAATGACCAATTGCATTGTGTTCATCCACCGTTGCTTCTGGTCGCGGTCTAACTCCAACCTGTGATCATTTGGACAAAAGCCGGGCACTTTTTCATTTTGGGCATGCCATGGCAAGAAGAAGCACCATCCCAGGGCCGCCAAGTGTGGCGAGCTATAACACGCGGGCTGGCGAAGGATTCTGATTTCCAGGTGGGCGGTTTAAAGTTTAAAGGTGAATCTTTTGGGGGTAGGGGGGTCCTGTCTTGCAGTCGGTTCTTTGTGAAGATCGTAGTAGGGCTCCGGCATTGGCATCTCAGCATCTCAACTCCCCGTTCGCAGCCAAGTAGCGGAGCGGAGCGGGTGCCCAAGTGTCCAACATGCCGTGGTTTTAGTCATATAAAACAGAACCCATAATGCATTGTTCCGCATATGTTTTATGATCTTCCATGGTTTTATATGGGCTTTTCTTTGTTCAGCCATTGTTTTATTTGGGTATCGAGCACCCCCCCCACCACCCCAAAGAAGCTACTAGTCTTGACCATGTTTTTGCCTAGTATGTTTGTTTGTTTCAGCCAAGAGCCCCTGCTCCTGGTACTTAGATGCTACATGAAGCTAGTAACAGGCTGTACCTCAGAATGCTCCAGAGGCACCTGACCGAGCCCCCAGAAAATTGTGAAGCCCAAAGAAATCCGTTGCCGAGAAAGGTTGGACTGGAGTTGTTCAAGGCCAGGTAAATCGATCTGGGCCACCCTCCCCCCCTTCCTCCCCACACACCTTATCTGGGCCATCCCCCCCCAATCCTTATTTGGGTCCCACTTTTCATCTAAGGCGAGCAGGGCCTGGTCTCCGGCAGCTGGCTGAGCTTCACCTATAGCCCCAGCAACATCCTGGGTGCCCCAACCTCATGCGACCCAACCCCAGGTGGGTGTGAGGAACTTGACTGTTGACCCGGGGCTTCATCCCAGGGCTTGAAACCTTTTGTGCTTGGTGGCTTCGGCAGTCGGCAAATTGGAAGCGACCGACCAAGGGGTCCGAGGTGTCATTGATCTTCGGGTCAATGGGCAATTGAGCAAAAGGAGGCTGCCAACACGCATAACGAGAAGGAAACGGATTGCAGAAAACCCCTTGGGGCAACAGAACCCAGTGTTGTCGATTCTTCCTAGCGAACACCAGCTATTCATCGTTCGTTGTGGTTACGTGTTTTGCTTTTCATTCCACAGGGGCTGACAGAAAGCCAAGTTGATGTATCAGGCAGAAATGTACTCGCGGTTGAGATATATGAACGCCTCTGAGCAAACCCAAGGCGGGGTACCTGGTGCTCAGCCCAAGACGGTGGAATGGATCGGACCCTCCACAGGGGCATGCCCCCCAAACATGTGAAGGCAGAGCTTGAGAGGGCTGGCCGCCGGGTCTCCATTTACAAGATGGCTTTCAAGCTTCAAAAGCCAACCGGGGAAGGACCCTTTCAAACATCCGGATCTCCTACTTTGCTTGCCATGCAGCAAGTCATTTCGATCGCTTGAAGTCGGACCCAGCAGAAGGATGCCTTCAGAAACCTGCCCCACAAGCAAACACACACCCACGTAAAAACCACACGGGTTCCCGAAAAAAACGGTCCCACCCCATGTTTGGGTGTTGGGTTTTGTTTCCGGAGTTGAAGCCGAGGTGCTTGGAAGGCCATGAGCAGCGCGAAGCCGCGGGAGGAAGAGCTGGACCTGGAAGGGATCACCAGGAGAGCTGGAGAGAGAAAGAAAGGAAACATGGTCGGTGGGCCAGGGCAGCAGCAAAATTCACATCTGAATCAAGGAACACACCAAAAAATGATGACATGAGTAAATACAGGCGCAGATGGCTAAGAACACATGTTATATTGAAAAGATATAGATTCACAAGTCGCAAGCCACAACATTCAACCGAGGAAGCACACCCTCTCGCGGAAGAATCATCAAAGAAAGACATGCGCGCACAAACACAAACAGCATAAATACATGTATTTACGTATCTAGATATTTGGTTGTTTGTTTATTCATTTTTGTTTATTTAAATGAAACAACAGCCAGAAGAGAAGGACACAACTTATTGAGCCTGGAAGGATTCAGATCTGTACAATGGCGTTTTAGATGGTTGCGGATCAATCTCAAGGGCTGAACAACTCGGTGAGTCTCAGAGATCACTCTCTCCTCAGTTGTTCAGTGGCACCGATTATGTTTCCTTTTTTTTGGGGGGGTGACTGCCCCACTACAAATGGTCTTCCCCAAAAGGGTTCCCTTTTTTTTCCTCCTGGGTCACGAACAACTGAGTCTCATTTGGAAGAGTTGGTCGTGACCATCACTTCGCACCACGTACGTTGCCTTCCATTTCTCACCACGAGCCTTTTTTGGAGGGATCAACCGTAGCAATTTCATGGCCATCGCAAAGTTTTACTGTATTCTTTCAGTTCCTTTCGTCGAGACGCGTGCATGTGCGAGCCATGTTCCCTTCTAGTTGGCCTCCTCAATTTGGCTGAGCATGGGTGGGGTTGTAACCCTCCAACTACTGTGGATGCACAACATCCTGCACCAGTTGGGATGGATAAAACTTATGACCACTGGGATAAACCAGGTACCAGGTGGCTCGACGCGGATTTTGTACATCAGGGATTCTTGTGCATTTGTCTTCCATTTGCTTAAGAATATGTTTCCTATTATTTTCACCTGTGGGTTTTTAAGGGAAACTATCACTAGTGGACACATTTTTGTTTTTCAAGAGGACTTAAGCAAATGGAAGTTGTGGTTGCCTCGTGGAAGGATCTGCTACGGAGGGAACAACCCGCAGATCTTGCTGCAGATGCCTTGGCCTGTGACATTGCTCAGCCTGGACTTCGGCCACAGCTTCAACCAGAGCTTGCAGGCGTGTCAAAGGATTTCCCTCCCACCAACATGGAAGTTCAAAAAGGCCAACTAACCAAGAGGAAAGTGGTCTTTCTTCAGGGGTCTGTGCACAAACCCATGATAGCCGGTAAAAGGGGTTGGAGCCCAACACTCGCGGTTGCCAAGACCACCCCATAGTTTCCTCGACCCGGCTAAGAAGAAAGCCCTGGTTGACTAGTAGAGCGGGTCCAGCTAAAGAGGAAAACCATTGAGCATGCGATTGCTGCGTTTGAGAGAATCTTTGCCCACGCTTTCAGGACTTTGTTGTTTGCAGCCCTTGTGACTTGAACGCTATTTGACGTGATCTAGTTGTCAGTTTTTCGCGCCGACGCAACATAGGACTCATAGCCCTGAGCGTTGCTTCTCACCGTCGCAAAACTGTTCTCCAGCAGCGCTCGCATTCGAGTGCCGAACCCCTGCTTTCTTTCAACGAGCCAAGTTGCAGACAACTCCACTGGAACATGAGGGGAAGACAGAGCGCATTTTGTTTTCCGCAATTTTCAATGAACTATCTGGGTATGGGTCAAAATTAAACCACCAGGAAATGGACCGCAGGTATAAGGTCCATGTTTCCATTTGCCAGGGCAACCCATTTTGGGGTTGCCCTATTTTGACCCACAGCCAACTCGTTTCCGTGGCCCGATGAATTTACTGTTGCTCCAAAGGAGCAAGGGATAGGGGCCATTGTTCCATGGGCTTCAATCGGGTGAAATGCACGCTCGCTACTCACTTTCGCAGATTCCGAACTGAACACTTTTTGGGGAACCGAGAAAAGAGGAGAGCACTTCTCTTTTTGGAATGGGCACCTGGAAGTTTCTGGGATTTTTGTGAAATGTGGGAAGCGCCCTCGTGCAAAACCGGGATCCCCAGTTTGTTGGTCGGCTTGTGTCAGTCGGACACACCCGGGGCGTTTGGAACTTTGAACCGCCTTTGGCTGCTGAAAGGTCCCGATTCCTTATGCCAGGCGGTCCGTATACATGTGGCTATGACCTTCCAGTGACAGGCCCATTAGCCAAACCGAGGCCAAGCGGTGGTTGCCCTCCACGGGAACGGAGGGATGCGGCCCTTAGAAGTAGAAGTGGAAGCTGGGCTGAAGAAAGATCCACTTTTTCCAGGCGCTCGAGTTGCTTTCAGCACCTTTTTTTTGGGTGTGTTTCTCGAGGGTCGGCTTGTTTTTTGGGGTGGTCTTTAGATTCGGGGGTTCTCAAGAAGCAAACTCCAGGAACATCTCCAGACAATTGACCAAATCCCGTGGTTCCGTTGGGTGTTTTGGTTAGCTCCCCTTGCTTTTTGTGGGCGTGTGTGGCTAACTTCCTGGAGATGTTCCAGTTGATTTACCAATTTTTACCTTTTTGGCCGGACTGTGGCCGGCCAGCAGCGAGAGGGTGTGCAGCTGCCGGAGACTTTGCAGCACCTGAGCTTCGGGCACTCCTTCAACCACAGCCTGCGGGGCGTGCCTTGGGAGCGCCGGATGAGCCACAACTAGCTCCCTCAGTAGTGCCCCTTTCTCACCCTTTTTTGGGTTGGGAGGGTTCCCCTACTAAAATAGACTGCAGAAAAGGGGTACGAACTTATTCTAACCTCTCTACTGGAGGACCTAGCAAAGAAATCCAAAGCCCACCCTGCTGCTCTGTTGCGTTTCCTGGCTTTTGGTGGCATTTCCTCAAACCACCTCTGACCCTAAGCCACAGCTAAACCAAACCTGAACCAGCCTAAACCCCCAGTAAACCAGCACTAAAGCATCCTAGACCAGCCTAAACTTACCAAACAAAAGCCAAACTCACCCCCAGCCAGCACTAAACAAACACTAGGATGCCCATTCCCAACCGTAGACCCACACTGAACCAACCCTAAACATGTCCTAAACCAGCACTCAACTATCCACAAACCACTCCAAACCCTGAACCAACCCGAAACCCATCCTACCCTAAAGCAGCACTAAACAATCCCCAAAGTACCAAACATCAACCCTAAGCAAGCCATCCCTAAACCAGCCTAATCCTACCCTGCACCCGCAAACGAGAACATCAAATAAGGCGCCATTGACATGAAAGAAAGACGTACGCACAATCTGGATCGCAATCTAATGTTGGCCCTGCAGAACAAAACACTGTCCGTCCTATTAGCAGGGTGTTCCCTTCAAAAGTGATTGCGGAAGGGTGTTTGTTCCGAGGTTCGGCGGGGGCGGGCCTTTTTTTCTAGGTTCGGCAGGTGCTACAATGCCGTTTTGTTTTTTACAGCATTTGCTAACACAAATCACCGGTTTTACCCCAGCGCCGTCGACGTCCCCAGCCTCGTTTTCAACAGGATTGGTTTACGGCGGGTTGGTATGAGAGGGTTTCGGGTTAGTTTGGTGCTGGTTTGGGTTTCGGTGGGTTTAGTGTGGTTTTAGGTGTGGCTTGGGGTAGGTTTCGTGCTATGAGGGCGGCTCCCCTTGAAACCATACAGGACCGCCTTTTCATTGGTTGAGGCGCCCTTTCCATTTATGCCTTGGATCGATCCCCTTGTTGGGCGTCGTTAGCGCCCTTCTTGGCGGTTTGCCGCACGAAAAGCAGGCCATCCGTTTTTGTGGCGCCTGCCGTTTTTTGTTTTTTGTTTTCTTCCTCCGAGGTGCGGTTGCCCGAAGCTCTGGCGACACTGTGCTTCGGGCACCGCTACAACCAGAGCCTCCGCCACGTGAGGCTTCCCAAGCTGAGGCTCGCCGAAGGATGCGCCCGGGGCAACGTGTCCTTTTTGGGTGAAAAAGGGTGAAAAATGGTGGGCAAATTTGGTTTGGTTTGATTTGGTTTGTAGGTGTCCTTTTTTTGGTTTTCCTGGTGGTTTATTCGACTACCGCGCCAACTCGGCTTGGGTGTTTTGATTCTCCCAAGCTAGACTTGAACCCTGTGCTTATCTCCTCGAAAGGAGAATCCCCGGGTTGAATCCCAAGTGCCTTGGTAGCCAACGATTCGATTCCAAGGCTGGTGGAACCGGTCGACATTTGAATTCCAGTATCGCTGGTTTCAGGTTGGTTGAGGCCTGGTTTAGGGCTGGTTTTGGCTTGGTGCAGGGTCGGTTTAGGGCTTCGGGCTAGCCTTTTGAGGTTTGACTGGGTCCATCAAAGGGACATCATGACGTCCTCAAAAGTTTCCCCTTCCAAATGGGTGCCTAAAGGGTAGCACACACGGTCCCGATTTTTGTTTTCGGAGTTCAACCTGCCAAAATTTCTCGATTGGGAAGCAACAAAGGCGCCGAGGCGAAGCTTGGGATGAACTGAGCATTTGGACTTTGGTGCATTGCCAAAGGATGTTAGGACTGAAGAGCTGAAAACCCAACGAATGGGTTTTCCATTAAACCACTAAAAGTTATTCACTTTTAGCAGGGGTACAGAAAGCAACAGAGCGGACAGTTACCCAAGTCCGGCCCATTAAAAAAGAAAACAAACAGAAGGGCCTTGCACTTTGCTCCAGAGAATGTGTACACCACTCAGGGCCTACGTGGCCTACGTGTTGTAATTTCTCTCTTGTACTTCCCACACAGATGGGGGTGCCCATAGTTTTCTACAACCCAGAAGACAGATGACCGGATTAAGCAACAGATGAATACTCATGTAAACATTGGGGAGCGCACCAAAGAAAGGGAAAAGGGTGCCACTGAACAGTGCGGGGTTTGAACAAGTCAGACAGCCTATGCTGCGGTCCCCTGACAACTGACTTATGAGCAGTCATGACCATCTCCCGCCGGACCCGTCAAAGAAAAATAATGAACAGACATGAGCAGGGTTGAGGGATCAAGGGGTTTTTCCCCACTTCCGTGATACAAGATATTATCCTCTTTATGTGGCAGGTTTGTCTTTGAGAAGCCCTTTTTGTTGTATCACAGAGGTGGGTTCCGTTTCCCACAGCCCTGGACATGAGTCAACAGAGTAACGTGTTGTCATTGTTTGGTGGGTATTGGCACGCCGTGAAGGCTAGCACTCCCTGGCTCTGCGGTCTTGGGACGTGGGTCCAAGGAAGAGCCTGACATTTGGCGCTCTCTTCAACCAGGCCCTGCAGGCGGAGTTGGGGTTGGGCGAATTGGGTTGGACCGATGGACGTCACAGAGGATTTTGGTTTGCGATGAATGTCAAGTGGCAGGGAAACTCGACCCAACAGAGTGGGTTCTCCATTTTTCACCCTTTTCTGCGAAGGTCACCTGGAAAGAAAGCACGCTCAGCCGTGAGGACCTTCATGAAATCACAATGTTTCACGAAACATTTTGGCCGAAGGCCCTTAATACTTACACAGACAAAGGAGCCATGGCTGCTTGTGCTTTCAAGATGGGCAACGCCAGCCTGACTGGGTTGCGTAGCAGAGGGTACATGAGCACCTGCCCGCGCGCGATAGGCAATGCCAACGGTTGGTGTAACTTCTGCAACTTTCGGCAGCGAGAATCGGCAGCATCATAACCCTGGCTGCGCCAATGGCAGGCCAGGCTTTAACGGAACCCAGGAAATCAGGCTGGGCAAGGAAGGCACGCTGAAACTTCACTTCTTCGAAGTGAACCCACGGCCAGTTTGAGGCCATGCATGGCACGGCAAGCCGGGCGGGCAAAAGATCGAAGCACTCAATCACTTGTTAGGAAGTATCGGTTCCGAGATTGCACCGCAGTGGGCATACCCCTCCGATAGCAGCCCCCAGGTGCAGGCCACCCTTGGACTGCGGACATTTTTTTCAATTCTTTCTCTTCCAAGGATGTGGGGACACAACAACTGCCTTTTCTCTGACTGGGTGCTAACTAATCCATTGCCCCTGAAGGAAACCAAATGGCAATTCATCATGTTATTGTTGTATGTAGTTGCTTCTTCTCCAGAAACCCTCCTTCTTTTCATTGTTTTTGCGATTTTCTACTTCCCCCCCCCCCTCCTCCCCCACGCTGTCTCGCCAAGGGCACCGAGTTCCCGGAGACCTTGCAGCGCTTGAGCTTCGGCGCCAGCTTCAACCAGCGCCTGGAGAGCCTGCCGGGCCGTTTGGAGCACCTCTCGTTGGAGGGCTTCGACCAAAGTCTGCGAGGCGCGCGCGTCCGCGCGGGTCAACGCGGGTCCGCGCGTCGGAGAGTCGGACGGTCGAGGCTTGGGATGGACCAAATCCGTTCGCACCGCTTAGAAGCCATGGTTGGAGCCCGTTTTGGTTTGCTTTTGCGAGGGGGTCATCATTCGGGCGTTTCTTGGATGGTGAAGGATTTTGGACACATCCACGGTAGGTTTCAAGAAATCATCGAGGGTGGGGGTCAACACAGAAATCTGCCTGGTGGTTTGAAAACTTTATCTTTGTGGCAATGGTGGTTTGAACGCATTGGTGGTTTGAGCAAATCACCGTTTTGGCCCTGTCAATGCGAATATTTCCCTTGGTACCAGTGATGGTTTAAGTAAAAACGCCAGAAGCTGTAAGAGTTGCAAGGTCAGGGAGTGGTTGGTGGACGTGGACATGACTCCTCAGCTGAATGATGTCTACCACCCCTAGACTGCACACCTAAGTTGGGGGGGGGTGCCGTATTTGCCGTTGGCATTGACACGCGGGGTAGTACAGATACATGAGGCAATGTAGGGGTAGCATAGTTTGTGATGTTTTCAAATATTGACGTTGGGGGCCAAAATTGAGTTAGGTGGGTCTCCATAGGCGCACAATAGCCTATAGCTGCTCTCAATCTTTTGAAAGGATCAGCTACTGCATAGACTCAAGTTATCATCAATCAGGGCGGGTCCCTTTCCTTCCTCAAACACTTGTCAAGCTGGAATCGGACGCCTTTTCTCGATAAGAGTCCACTTCCATGATCGGAACGAGACAACTGGTGCAATGCTTGGGTGGGAAACACGTGTCTTGCAGTCAACCTTTTGACTTTGCGTCTAGCGTTTGATTGGAGCCAGCGTTCGAGATGGGCTTGTTGCCCCCTGAGTCCACACGCTAAACTCGGTGAGGCGTGGTGCTTCCCCGGCTCCTGAGCCTGACCTTGGGCAACAACTTCAGGCAGAGCTTGCAGGCCACTAGAGGTCCAGAGTGATCTGGCTGTGGGTCAACAGCCAAAGGTACCATTTTGGTAGGTGCACCACCCATTTTAGAACCTATTTTAGTGGTTGGATTGGGATGGGGTACGGGCTTTTGACCCAAAGCCATCTCCCGTTTTTTTACCCAACATTTGCAACCATATGAAATTATGGTCTGGACTGTTCAATATCATTCCCGGATGTTTGTGGCTTTTCCAACGGGATTAGGGATGCCCTTCTTTTGAACAACCCAGTGAGGACCACTAGTAGCTGATAGCTCATGGTCAATCATTAGGCTGTTCGTTCCGGCCTCCTCTGGCCAGGGGAAACGCGCCAGGAGGTTTGAGGTGCTTTGCCAAGTTCCGGCTCTTGGATTCTTCGAAGCGTCGCCAGGGGGTCGCTTTGCCCGACGGCTTGACCAGCCTGAGCTTGGGCGACGAGTTCAACCAAAGCCTGGAGGGGCTACCCGCCAGCCTGGCGGCCTGGCGTTGAATTGGGAGAGAGCGCCGTGCTCTCAAGGCCTTCCCCTTCCCTTGCAGATGACAAAGCAGCATGGAACCCTCAAACATACAAGTCTCCAGGGAAACCCGAGGTTCATTTGCAGATGAGTTGTCGGTTCATTTACTTCTTATTTGGCGTTCCCTTTGCCAGTGCGGTCAATCCGCAGGGCTCTCATTTTCAACCCGGGTTCGCCTCCGCCAAGGAGAGCTTGACCTTCGGCAGCAGCTTCAACCAAAGCCTGGTGAGCCTGCCCAACCTGCGCAGCCTCAGTTTCGGCAAACACTTCAACCAGCCTTTGGCACTTTCGGCCGCCGGGAAGCACTTATTTGCCCGCTCGTTTTTTTTGATGTACCTAGGGAGCTTTTTGGGGACTCCGGCAGAAGGTGTGCAGCTGGAAACTTGGCAACTCGGGTGTTTTTTGCGATGAGTGCAGCTGAACACTGAGCAACTTGGATGTTTGCCGATGCTTTGGCATGTCTCGCGTGGTTGTGTGCTGGCTGTGCCGTGTTCTGTTTTTGCCCGCTGGAGCGGATGCCGCCCCAGAGATGTTTGTACTGGCTTTACGCGCGGGGTTAGCACTGTACTGTGCGCCTGCATCGTTCAGAAAAACCAAGTAGCAACCGGGGGAACCTCTAAATGCACCTTGACCAAGTTTGAAGTGGGAGATGGCGCCAAGGGAATCCCCGCATAGCCCCACTCCCTCCGTATCCCCGCTTGTTCGTTTGTCCAAGTTGTTCTTCCGAGTCGGCCACCCCTCCCGACAAACCACCTGCATCTGCAGGCTCAGGCCTAGGCGTGTGGTCAGGGAACCAACTCTGGCTTTCCCGTGCACTACATCCCAGGCCACTTTCCCATTGCCTCACCACCCTTAGGAAACCGGCCATGGGAGAACAACCCTAGCCTCGCACCCAAAAGGGGTCAAAGGAAAACCGTGTTGTTGGCGTGCTGTTTGCGTGTTTGCTCAAAACAGAGAGCCAGACCAGTGCAACATTAGGTACAACCAATGGCATCTTGCCGTACACAGGTCCAACCGAGCTTTGCGGCAATGGGTTCCCGGGTGCGGATTGGATGTCATCGCTTTTCTGGGATCCACCCTTGAGTAAATAGCAGGGTATCAAAGACTTACCACAAATGCGCAGAGGCAGCAGGAGGATTGAAGCACTAAGGGAATCCATGTGCAAAGCTGCACCAGGGACCCTGAACAACTACATTCCAATACTTTTAGAGTTTCCCTCTCCGTAACGCGCATAGAACATCTCCCAGAGGAAACTTGAGAAGCTGAGCCTCGAGGTACCCCTCCCACACTCTCCATCAGGGTAATGTTGACCCAGGATTCATAAACCCGTCCCATTAGGGGGGTGTTCCCTCCAAAAGTGGTCTGAATCCAACCACTAAAAGGAATTGGACACCCCTCAATCAAAATCAACCAGGGGTTCTGCTTAATCCGGGGTTAACATTGAGTGAGCCACAATCAAAGCCCGGGCAGATGAAGGTGAGTAAGGGCCAATCCCAGTCATAAATAGCTGCGGGTATCCGCCTTCTTAATTCTTGAAGCATGGTTCTGGGTTCACCATTTTACTACCGTGTTTTGATTGTGGCACAAGTGTCTTGCCGGCTCCTAGACCTTGCCGAACCTCACGCGCCTGAATCTGTCGGATGCCTTTCAGCACCCCGCCCCCCTGCGCCTCGAGCAGCTGAGCTGCGGCCCGTCGTTCGCCGGTCTGGCTGGCTTTGACATGCTGCAGGCTGGTGGGTGTGGCGGTCCGGGGCGGTTCGATGCCAGCGTCATTTTCTCAAATCCGATTTCGGCAGAGGCGCGCACATGCACGTATTGGCCTTGTGACATGTGTATGTGCGCGCGTGCGGCTAACTGGTGGGAATCCCCGTTTCATGTAAGCTGAGATTGGCACGATGCTTCTCAGAGCACTCGCGATTGAGAAGCGAACTGGGAGGGCGTGGAAGAACTCCCACGCCGTAGGTTCGGATGGAAGCCGGAGTGGATTTGGTCCACCCGCTTGCTAGAATGAATGCACCCAGATGGAAAGGAGGCATGGGTATAGGCTATATGTGCCGCTTATCAGTACCAGGGTTGTCGTTTGCGGGTCGAGTCTGTTTTTGATAGGGTTAGCTATCCCAGGGGCACATGGTCGGACCCTTGCTGCCAGACGAGGGAAATAGCTACGTGGTGCATGCCGCACATGTATAGATACCTGCGCATATCTATGTCTCTCTGTAGGTGCGCATGTTTTTATCCGAGTCATTATGGAGCTCTTGTTTAGGTCTGGAACCCAGGCTTCCAAGGGTATTTTGGTCGGGCCCGATGTGGACGCCAGAGTTGGGCGAAATGCGCAGCAGCAACATCCGGCCCGCCTCAACAAGATGATTTCGACTGAAGATTGATGTAAATCATGTCCTAGGTCCCCCAGTGCCCTTTTCCCCTTTTTTTGTTGGGAGGGTTTCCCTACTAAAATAGACAAAACCGAGAAAAGAAACGGTACCAACTTCTTCTAACCTCTCTGGAGGACCTGTCCAAAGGCTACCTTCTGGCTGGGCAGGACTTGACCCTCTCCTTCTCTGGCGTGGCGCCCCTGCGGCTGCCGAAGAAGCTCCGAAGCTTGAGCTTGCATGGCTTCAACCAGAGCCTGCGGGACGTGGAGCTTCCTAGCACCTGGGAACAACCAGGGCCTCCCCCCCAAAAGGATATACGGTAGACCTAGGAATGGGACAGAGTCGTTCTTTTTCTTTTTCTTTTTCTTTTTTTTTCTGTGTAGCTTTTTTTCCTGGGTTTTGGCGGGCTGGCCGAGGAGAAAAATAATTAAACCCTTCCGCCCAGATGTGGGCCCAAGCGATTCAAGATAGGAGCCGAACGCACATTCCCAAACCCCAGGGTAGACTAGAGAGAGAGAGAGAGGCGTGTTTCTTGGAATGGGACATTGTTAGGTTCCCTTGGAACAAACGGGGGGGCCTGTCTGCTCTTGCAAGGGCAGAAGCGCGGCCGGAACCCCATGTTAGTAGCTGTCAGTTGGGCGAGAAGGTAGGTATGCGTGCTCGAGGTATGAAGCTTACATACAATTTTGTGTACGGGTGCCCCGGAAATGGCCCTCCTAGGTGCTCTCTCCCCTTTTTTGGTTGGGAGGGTTCCCCCACTAAAATAGGCAACAGAACAAAAAGTTGGTGCCCTTATTGTAACCTCGCTAGAGTCAGCCGGTGCAATCCAACAAGGAAACCCTGGGGCTTCCGCCTTGGCGAATCCGCTTTGAGGCACCTTGCGAGAGCTGAGCTTGGGCCAGCAGAGACTCAGTTGCAATCGGGCGGCGTTTGTCCTTTCGCCATTTTACGGGGCGGGCTGCTCCCTGCAAAGTGACCCGGCAAAATCCCCGTGAAGCACTTTTCTCAAAAAGTGGGCGATTGAAACCTCTTCCCCTCCAGCCTAACACATGGCAACTCAATATCCCTTTGATGAGGAAAGTCACCTTTCCCAAGTGCTTGTTTCCTCCATGGTGTTGGGCGGGATTCCCTTTGCTACGGGGATCCACGGGGTCCCTCAGCGGGCTTGGGTTTCTGTGTGTTCCCTTGATGTGCTCTTCCTGCTTCCTTTCCCTCACGATCCTCTTTGGTCTTCCTGTCACTGCGCGTGCGTCCGCCCTTCCGCCCCCTTCCCAAGCAACCCGCCACCGGTGGCACCCGCGCAGATCCGCGCAGATCCGCGCACCCGCGCAGCCAGGTTCAACCAGGCCCTGGACGTGCAGTTTCCGGAGGCCTTGCGGCGCCTGAGCTTGGGGCAGAGCTTCAACCAACCACTCAAGGGAGCGACTCGTTCCGAAACTGAGCCCCGGGAGTCTCTGAGTCCTCATGTTGGTGGCACCTGGCACCTCCCAGTCGCGTTTGGCTGAAGAAAGACGAAGGGCAAGTCAACCACCAAAAGGGCCCCTTTTTGGTGACCCTGTCTCACTGAAGTGCTCCACGCCGATCGGCGCCAGTTATGGATGAAGCTCGGTTGAATACTGGCTGGTCAGCCACGAATCCCAACTGGTGCAGAGTTTTGGCCATCCACAGGAGGGTTCTTTGCGGTACCAGACTTGCTGACGAACCTTGCCCTTCTGCGCGTTAGAGGAGGACTTTGAACCAGCAGGACCAAGTTCCCCGTTTTGGTTGGGCCGTGGGGCTTGGAACCATGATTTAGAGGGATTGAACATCCAGGTGGAGTCATTTTTTTAGTGTTCCTTGGTGTAATTGTGGGACCTCTTTTGACATAGTCTTGCTTTTGAAGGTTGGCCAAGTCACTTGCAATCCACACAAGTCAGGTCAAATTGAGGGCAATGGCCGCCGCAAGTGGGGGAACAGTTGCACCCCCCTTTGGATGTTAGTTGCAAGCTTGAAGCAAGAACAGCAAATCCACAACCAGCTTTTTCGCCGGGCCCTGTTTCATTTCCTTCCATTTGCTAAAGAAAATATTTAATTTTCCCTTGTTGGTTTTAAAGGGAATCTATCACTACTGGAAACATTGTTTTTTTCCAGGGGTCTCAACCAATTGACGCTTCAGGAACAAAGAAAAAACAACCACTTGTCAGAGCAACAGCTGAGGTTCTGCTACCGGCGCGACTGGAGTCGCTGAACTTCGGACAAAGCTTTGACCAGCCTTTGCACAAGGCGAAAGCTGCCCTGACGGCTCAAGAGTTGTTCAGCGCTACCCTTCTCCCATCTTTTACCCTTTTTGTTTTTTGGGAATTCCCCGCTAAACACATGATGATCTCCAGTTGTTCAGTGCCACCCATTTCCCGTCTTTTCCCCTTTTGGCCTTTTTGGGAATTCCCCGCTGAACGTGGTCAACCGCAAAAAGGTGTTCCTTGGTTTACCTACCCTTGTCCTGCTTCCCCTGTTTGCCTTCTTGGGAGTTTCCCGCTGAACATGGTCAACTGCAACAAGGCTCGCAGGGGTGGCAAGGGTCGCAAGGGTCATCGGCAAATTCCCTTGTCCTGCTTCCCCTTTTTGCCTTTTTGGGAGTTCCCCGCTGAACATAGTCAACAGCAAAAAGGGTCGCAGGGGTGACAGGGTCGCAAGGGTGAACGGTAAATTCCATTTTGTTAAGCAGGGTTCCCCCACTGAACATGGTCAACTGCAAAACGGGTCGCAGGGGTGACAAGGTCGCAAGGGTGAACGGCAAATTTCTTTTCTCTTGCCCAGAATTAGCTCCCCTTTTTGCTGTTTTTTCCTTTTCGGGGTTCCCTTTGTTTTCCACTAACCAGGCAAAAAAGATAAGTTTCTGCAGGGGTCCTGATTCCAGCCAAGTTCTTACAAGGGTCAACAGGCGGCTTTGGGGTCGCAAGGTGCTGCCCGCCGATTTGCGGGAGCTGATCTTCGGGGAGAGGTTCAATCAGAGCCTGCAGGCTGGGCCGGAGGAATGTCTGGACGGATTTTTTGCTTCGCCCCAGCCGAACTCGATTTTTCTGGGCAGATCATATTGGCAGTGAACAACCAGCCATCACTTTGCCAGACAAATTCGTAGACTTAGGAAGTGAGGGGAGATAAGGTAAAGCGAATGATTAGAGGAATCGGGGATGCGTTGTCTTCGACCTATTCTCAAACTTTAAATGGGCAAGATCCACTGGTTTCTTCGTTGAACTTCTGGGATATAATGCCAACTCTAGTTTTTGGTAAGCAGAACTGGCGATGAGGGATGATGAACCTAACGTTGGGCTAAGGTGCTTAACTGCACTCTCATTAGATACCACAAAGGGTGTTGGTTCATTTTGACAGCAGGACGGTGGTCATGGAAGTCGAAACCCGCGAAGGAGTGTGTAACAACTCACCTGCCGAACGGACTAGCCCCGAAAATGGATGGCGCTCAAGCGGGTGACCCATGCCCAACCACTGACGCAAGCGCTTCGTCAGTGAGTAGGAGGGCGTAGGGGTTGTTAAGCAGCTTTTGGCATGAGCCTAAGCGAAACAGCTTCTGGTGCATATTAACAAGCCATCACTTTGTTGGGCCAGGGCCCATGCGCAGACGGGCCAAGGGGAATCGTGTGTTGAGGGGCGCATGGTGCGTGTAGAGAGACATTCTCCCATGCCCTGCTGAAGTTTGCAGCCCGGCGGTTTGGATATTCGGGGGTGGCAGCGGTTCAAATCCCGGGCCCCATCCATCCAAACTACCAATTCAGCTTTCTCACCAAGCGCAGCTGTTCTAAGTCGGACATTCTTGATCTTCGCAACTTGCTTGCAGTTTCCTCAACAAACGCAGGTTGTTCTAGGCTAGCCATGCGAACAACAGCTTTCACGCGCCTGAAGACATGGGCTGGCTTGCTTCTGGGGCCGGAAGTGCGGCTGAACAAAGCAAGGCACCTGTAGCGCAGCGGCAACCTACACGACTTTCTCCCCCCGCCAAACATGTGGATGGACAACATTTGCGCCAGTTCGCAGTTCTTGGATGAAAAAGAAACCTGAAAGGGAGATGTGGCCTTTGATGAGTTAGGTTTCCCTCCAATTCACATGGAACCTGACAGTCCCTTACGAAATGGTCTGCCGGTGGGCCCCAGTTCTTGGATGAAACCCGGCTAGTGGTGCACCCAGCTAGCGGCCGCAGGAGGTTGCCTTTTCATGGTTGTTGTTGGGACACATTTTTCAACCATTTTGGCTTCTTGTGGTTTGGTGGTTGAACTCCAAATCCACTCAACTGCTAAGATTTTCCAATTTTTGCTCCCCTAACCCAACGTCAACCGAAGGCCAACGCCAAAGCCCAACGCGCCAGGGGCTGCAGCTCCCTCCGGGCCTGGAGGCCTGAAAAAAACCGTCGGAGTCGGAGTTGCTGCGAGGCACCGGGGGTGGGTCCGAAAACCCAGCTGAAACCTGTGCGTGGAACTCAAGAGTCATATCAATTAATACATGCACGTATACGAGGTGGATGGATGGATGGATGGATGGATGGATGGATGGATGGATGGATGGATGGATGGATGGATGGATGGATGGATGGATGGATGGATGGATAGATATGATTATTAATTATATAATATATATAGAGCTACGGGTGCATGACATTTACAACATCAGAAGAGTGGCTTATAGGTAAATGATAAGATGTATCACCGCACTTTCGTGGGCCGAAAGTTGAAAACTCCCGCTGCGAGGTCCTGACCTTCGGGCGGGGCTTTGGCCACAGCTTCCACCAGGTGGCCTTCCCAGCGACTCTGCGGGCCCTGACCTGCGGAAGCAACCAGTGCCCCGGCTGGGTGCCTGGGAGTTTGGAGGGCAAAACTTGGTAACTCAAGGACCGCTTGCAGGGAGATTGGATGGCAAAAAACTGGTTTCAGCTCAAGTAAGTGTTGTTAATGGTTTTCAGCAGCCCCCTGGTGCCAGGTGAGCGGGAACTCGGGAGAACACAATGAGGAGACCCTCGATGTGAAGACACCTAAGCTCCAATTTCTGGGCTTGCGTGGTTGCAATGCTTTGAAAGACAGGTTGAGTCCTGTAGGCGCAAAAAGTTATGACCATTTGGGGTATGTGCTCCATTTAGCCTGTGGTTCCAGGCGCCGCCCCGCCAGCAATCATGGAAGCTGACAGGAGGAGAGGGAGAAGGCAAGGAGACCCCTTTGCGGGTTCCATGATTGCTGGAAAGGGTGACAGTGGAACTCAGGGACCCTTCAAGATGCGGATTCCAAGGGATGGATTCCTGCATGGAAAGAGGATACCCCGTACTCATACACAGCTAAAAACGCTGCATGCACCATTTTCGGGTTAATATTTTACACAGTTGCATGCTCTTTTTGCCTGCTCCGTTTTCGACTTGCGCTCCTTTGCACGCGGCTAGCCAGAAAACGGGACCCCAAAGCCTGAGGCTCCAGGGTCTGGTGCTACCAGAGCGGCTGCAGAGCCTGGACTTGGTCTATGACTTCAACCAGGAGCCGCGGAGATTCTAAGCCCGGTGAAACCAAGAGGAAACCAGTGCGTCTTTCTTCTGTGGATGGTTGCGAAGTCCTGTACCAAGAAACCTTTGGTGCACTTTGCCAAGGGATGTTGGGACTGAAGAGCTTTTGGCCAATAGCAGGGGAGCAGAAAGCAACCAAGAAACCCTGGAATGATTCGATTACCTCAGTAACTACCAAAAAACAATGAATGGTTTCCACGGGTTCCTTTTTCGATGCAGGATTTCGTCCACCCACAGTATCTATGGATTTCGAACCCCGGTGCGCGCCACCGAGACCTAAAACAACTTCTTGGGGTTTTCTTTGGCAGGCCAGCAGGCCTTCCAACAGCCTGAAATGTTATGTTTTGGGTGCCCCCGAATATCAGTGGGCACCTTTTTCGTTTCCTTGCTGAGTCAACACCCTCTGGACGCAACGGCAGACAAAGACTCAGTTGCTCAGTGGCACCCTTTGTCTTTTTTTTTGGTTTTTTTTGGGGGGGTGACTGCCCCACGAAAAATGGTCTTCCCCAAAAAGGGTTCCCTTTTAGCTGTCTGGCCCAAACCCATTCAGCTCAGGGAGTGGCGCACCCAGGGCCCCGCTAGGCTTCTCCCAGCCGGTTGGGCGTCAACAAAGCCAGGTACTCATCCCTGGCAGCCCCGTCTGTGCCTTGCACAGCCCCCTAGGCTGTGGTGCGGTGGTCTTGCGTTGCTCGGCGTTGGTTGCCCTTCTGTGGCTTCCTTGGTTGCCATGCTGTCGCGTGACCCCTCTGTCCTGCGGGCCTTGGGTTCTTTGCCTGCTGAGGCCATCGGTGCCCTCGATGCTCTCCTCGCCGAGTGTCCTTTTTTCCAGGACTCTGACCCTCTGGCTTGGAGGGGTGCTGCCAATCTGCACTTTCGGGTCGAGGCCATGATCGCCCCGTATGTTTGGCGTTGTGCTCTGTTCTCAACGGGGCTCCCTCCTGACCTCCATGCTACCCCGCGAGAGTGCCGCATGTGTTTTGACTTCGAGCTCCGTGCACCACAGGAGTTCCAGTCCCTCCTCAATCGGCCCTTCGCCCACGTCAGGGCCAGGGAGGTGTGGCTCGAGCCCGGCACTATGCCCAGGGTGGCTCGCGTGGAGCTGCAAACCCCCCTGTGGGTGTATCCCCAGCCACCGTTTGTGGAGCCTTTGGCGGTCACCCATCTGTTCGCTGGGGCCTTTCAGGGCTGGGGGCAGGCCTTGGAGGTCATCCGCTCTGCAGCTGGCTTGGACATTGCCCATGAGGTGCTTGTGGACCACTCTGTTATGGCCATAGCTGCCCAGGTTGCCACTCTGGATGTGCACAGCGTGCTCCCTTCGCAGTTGTCTAGTTGGCAGCAGATGTGTCGGATGTGGGCCTTTTCCATGTCGCTCCTTGGATTGGTTCCCATGTGGCTACCGCCTCCCCCCCGTGCCCACCTTGGTCTCGTGCGGGGGATCAGGATGGGCTTGCTGATCCCAATGGCCTTACATTCATCGCTGCCCTTGCTTGGGCTCGCGCTGCAGCCCCATTGGGCCTTCTCTTGGAATGCGTGGATGGGCTGCCTGCTCATCCCCACTTCCCTGTTGTGTTGGCCACTATACAGTGGGCGGGTTACCGGCTGCATCATTCAATGGTGCACGACCACGCGGTCTTTGGCCCTTGCTCCAGACGTCGCTGGTTGGCGGTCCTCCTGCGGCATGATGTTGAGGTTGCTGTGTTACCTTCGTCCCTCACTTTCAGGGACCCTCATCCGGTACCGTGGACTCACCCTTCCTTTCAGGTTGCGGAGGCCCCTGAGATCAACCATGTCAGGTTACTGGATGATGCCACGTTGCAGCACTACTCTAACCCTGAGTTCTTCCCTCAGGCTCCTGGTGCGCCCCGGCTTGCCCCAGCTGAAGTCTTGCAACAGCGTGTCCCTGCTGGCGATCAGCCCCTGCGTACGTTGTGTGCTCGGTACACCCAGCAGCATGTGCTCGCGGTCAGCACACTCTCTGACAGGGGCCTCTTTGCCCAGCTGCAGCCCCTCGAGGGTCGTTTTGCCTTTCTCTTGCCAGCCCAATGGGCCCTATGGCTGGGGGCCACTCGGCCTCTGGCTGGTTCCCCCACTCGCGGAGATCTTCCATGGGTTGGGTAACTCGATTTCTGTCCCTTAGGCGGCCATCCCCTGGGCCATTTTCCTGCATGCGGTTGGTCTCATCCATGAGCCGGTGGTCCTGCAGGTTTGGCACCAGCGCCTTCGGGGCCCTGACATCCAGGCAGCTCTTGTTCGGGGCTGGTACTACCTGGGGCCCCTGGGGCCCCTCGTTGATTTCGCCTTCCATCCGCAGGTCCCTCAGCGGGCCAGCCCTGATGGCCCTCCCACCGTCGTTGGAGATGAGCTATACCACCCTATGGTCTATCCGTACCGTCTGGGTGCTGCTCGAGCTGCCCTATTTTCGCCAGGTGGCTTCAGGGTGGAGATCACCTTCCCTGTTGGTGCAGCGGTCTCCCTGCTCTTGCTTGCTGCCCGGCTTCCCGCGGTCGTGCTTGGCTCCCTTGCAGTCTCCTCTTTTGCTCGGGTCTGGATGCCGGGCCCGGGATCCTGCGGGTGACCTGGCTGGCCATCTCCTTGCTGTTGTGCCGGCGCGTGAGCCTGTGGACCTCCTCCCACAGCCCGACCCTGTTGCGCTTGAGCCGCCTGAGGTCACTCTGCACTTCCATGACCCCATGCGAAGGGAACACTCCCGCAGTGTCCCACAGCTTGTCACGCTGAGGCAAGTCATCTGGTCCCTCCCTTTGCCTGATCGCTTGTTGATGCACGTCCGCCCGTTTGTGCAAGGGCGTGCGGTTCCTGATGCTGCCCTTGCTGGTGCGTGGGCAGATGCCCACATCACTCTGCGGGTCTTTCCCCTTCCTGGTGGTGGCGCCGGCTCACGCGATGGAGCGCTGCCCTCTGTTTTTCCGATGATGAGGAGATGGTCCCCGAGGACCCCCTATTCATCCATGGGCACCACCCCCGGGGCTTGCTCAACGGGCCTCAGGCTCTGATGGACCGAAGGCCCACGCTAAGTGGGAACACCTCACTCTGCCTCAGGACCATGCCTTCCGGCTTGCGGACTCAGATGAGGTCCCAGTGCTTGTTCCACGGGGCCAACTGGGCCCCCTGGTGGCTGGGTTGGCCTTTTGCCCCTGTCAATGCCCTTGGGGAGCTGATGGGCACGACCCCTCCGGGTCCCTCTGCTCTTGTGGTGCCGGGCCAATCCAAGGCCTCCCTTTCGGCCCTTCCTTCGCACGTGGATGTGGATGGACCCCTGCAGATCACGGTCTTCGATCCTGTTGCTGCAGTTACCTACAAGCGACAGGTGCTGCTGGTGCATCTCTTCCCCGGCATTGTGTATCGCCCTGAGGTGAGTGATGCCATCATCATCGAGACCGCGGATTTCGTTGAGCTTGTTGTTGAGTGTTTCGAGGGGCTCCTCCCTGACTTTCCTGCGCTTCTCACCCAGTCCCTCACTGAGCTGTGTGCTACCCTTGATCTTACTCAGCCCTCCCACCCGGTGCAGTCCTGTTATGCGTTACGGGTCCTACAGCAGACTCCCCATTGTCTGGGGAGGGTCATCCAATTCACGGCCAAGGTGTCGCGCCGACATTGCCCGGCGTTGCTCCGTCTGTCTGGCACTGGGCAGTTCTTCGTCAGGGACTTCTTGGCCCGTGGCACTGAACCTGAGGACCACTCTGTGGTCCATCGCTTCTGGGCTCTCTCTGTGGATGGGATTCGGGCGGCTCTGGCCCTCACTAGGCCTTTGGATGGGTTTTGCGGTCTGGCTCCTCTTAAGCGTGGGATTGCCGTGCGGATTGCCCATCTGCATCTCGCTGCTGCCAGGCGTGCTCTGCTCCAGGACGACCCTCGATTTGTTGATGTCAACCGGGCTTTGGTGCCCCGGGTCAACTTTCTTGCGGAGGGGCTTCCGTTTGGTGCTACGCCGGAGGCCATCGTTGACGCGGTCCTCAAAGCCACCGGCTTTGCGTGCATCCCTCTCCGGTCATTCCGCCGTTCCGGAATTCTTGTATGGGTCCTTGCGTTCTCTCAGGACCCTCCCGTGCTGGATTTCACCCTCCTGTCAGCTGGGCACCCCTGTGAGGTGCTTCTTACCCTTGAACCGGCCCTCCGGCAAGCAACGCCCGTTGCAGCCCCGGTCCCGCCCTGGACTTCCTGCCCCCCAGGCCCCTGCCAGCCCAGCCCCTGCACTACACCGTGGTGCTCCTGCGGTGGCCCAGTCTCGGGTTGATGCGCAGACCCAGGGCAGACCGCCCGGACAGGCCGAGGGCCTGTCCCAAAACCCAAGAAGTGTAGGAGGGGCCCACTGTCAGGCCCCCAGCCCCTTGAAGGCAGGGGCTGCCTCCGGCACAGCCCCAAGGATGCTGCGCAGAGACCTGAGCAAACTGGCTGTCTACCTTCTCGGCGAGCACGTCCTGCTTGGCTTCAAGCCCACCAACCCGGGCTTCCAGGTACTGGCCACGGCTCCTGGTCTGGTTGGGCGCCTCTTTGTCTGTTTGCCCACTGTGCTGTTTGCTCTGTCGGTTGTTGGCTGTACCGCGATTTTGATGCTACTCTGGGCTTCCCTGGTGAAGGCCCTTTTGTGGTTTTCGGTCTCACAATGTGGGCTCCCTCGTTGCCCATACTGATTTGTTCGAGGCTCCTGCTTCGCTCTTGTTGGTGCAGGAGGCCCGCTTGTCTGTTGATAATGTCCGTACTGCCTCCTTCCGTGCTTCCGAGGTCGGCCGGTCTCTGGTCCCTGGCCCACTGCTCCCTATCACACCCGACGTGAACGGTGTCCGCCGGGTGGAGTGGGGTGGATTGGCTGCTATCTCTCATGATTGCCTGGTCTACGGTTTCTCTCCGCAGCAGGATGTCACTGGCCGTCTGGAGCCCCTGTTGGCCTCCGGCCGCTTCCATGTTGTCTGGGCCACGTACGGCCGGCTGAGGTTCTTGGTTATCAACTTCTATGGCATCTCCGGGGCTTCTTCGGATGATCCCCTCTTCCAGCGTAACCAGGAGCTGCTCTCTGACGCTTTTGACTTCGCCGCCCCCTTTCTCTTCGACCATCCTGTCTTGTTTGCGGGTGACTTCCAAGCGTGCCCCTCCTCTTACCCTGCTGTCAGTGATGCCTTGGCCACTGGGGTGTGGCTGGACCCTTGTGAGCCCTCCCGCCCTGATGAGGAGCGTGCTCCCACCTTCTGTCGGGACAAGACCTGGGACGAAGCTTCCCCCACTACCTCAATTGATACGGTCTTGCTCAATGTGCTCGCTTCTGAGCTCCTGCATCAGGTGGATGTCACCCCCCTTTGTGGGTACCAGCATGCCCCTGTCACTCTCCACTTTGTGGTCCAAGGCGAGGTGCCGCGCGCAATGGCCTTCGCGTCCTTCGCCCCCTTGGACCTTGAGCATCTGGGTTCTCCGGAGGCCTGTGCCGCGCATGCTGAGGCTCTGTGGACTGACAGGTTTCTGCCTGCCCTTCCCGCCCTGTCCACTGGGGAGGAGGCCTGGGCAATGTTCTCTGAGTTTGCCCTTTCCACTCTGCTTGCCATGGGGGCCCGCTGGGGGCGTGGTGTCCGATCACGTGGCTCTCTCCCGCCCATCCGCCCCAAGCGTCCGCTCGGTCGCGTGCTTCCTGGCTCGTATCCGGTGGTCCTGCACACCCGCCTCCTTTCTCTCGCTCGGGAGCTGTTCTACCGCTTGGTTCGGCTCCCTGTTGCTGCTCCTGCTGATGCGTCCACCACGTGACCTCCGCTTCCCCTTCACTGAGGCCGACCTTACCCCTGAGGGCACTGCCCAGCTCTGTGAGCGTGCTGATGTGGCACTGCAAGCTGCCGTCAAAGCCAAGCCAGGCGCCAGGCTTCTCTTAGGCGCTGGCGCGAGCGCCTCAGGCACTCTGCCCTGCACAGCGGCCGTGAGGTCTTCCAGCACCTCCAGCGTGCTACCACTCCTACTGGGTCCAACCACCTTGCTGGTCCGGATGGGTTGCCGGCCTTCCACCCCTCTGCGGCTCTTGAGCATGCTGCTGAGCAGTGGAATCAAGTCTTCGATGTCCACCAAGCGGGCATCCCTATCGAGCCTCTCATGAGGCCTATCCAGCACTTGTTGGAGCAGCGCGCTGTCCCCCTTGTCTTGGCCCCGGTCACTGCGGAAGAGCTTCAGGCTTCGGTCGCGCGCCGCTCACCTGACTCCTCGGCTGGCCTCGACGGTTGGACTGCGGTTGAGTTGCGTGCTTTGCCCTTGCCTGTCTTTCGGGTCCTTGCGCGCCTTTTCCGGCAGGTCGAAGCTGGGGCCTGGACTATGCCGAGCATCTTTGGTACTGCTCGGCTCGCGGTGCTTGACAAAGGTGCCGGGCCGGCGCCACTGGCCAAGCGTTTGATTGCGGTGTTACCCATCTCATATCTTGCGTGGTCCTCGGCTCGCTTTCGTGCCTCACCGAGTGGCAGGGTAAGGTCCTGCCCCCTGAAGTTGTTGGGGGTGTTGCCCGCCGCAGAGTTGATGACATCACGCATCACCTTGCTCTTGACCTGCATGAAGCCAAGGCGACTGGCGAGGTCTTCGCGATTATTCAAGTGGACAGGTCCAAATGCTTCGACCGTCTGCTCCCTGGCCAGATCGCTGCGATCCTTACTGCTCTGGGCGTTGCTCGATCGTGGCATAGCAACTACCGGTCCTTTCAGCGGTTCCTCTCCTGGCGTGGGGCAATCCACCCTCACTCGTTGGCCAACAGTAATGGTCTTGCCCAGGGTGACTCCATGTCGGTCCTCGCTGTCAATGTGCTCATGTCCGCTTGGATCCTGCTTATCCGTCACTTCCCTGGTGTGGACCCGCGGGTCTACATCGATGATGGTTACCTGTCGGTCAATGCTCCACAGGCCATTGACTCCCTCGTTCAAGCGGTTCGTGCCACCTCTCTCTTTGATGCGCTTGCTGGCCAGCAGTTCAACCTGCACAAATCTGGTTGGTGGACCACGCACGAGGTCCATGCTGGCGATCTGCAGGCTGCCCTCCCCGATGCCCCTCGCCTCCGTGCTCTTCGCCCGCTCGGGGTCTGCATTAACTTAGACCTGCGGGGCACCAGGAATTCCCGTGCCTCTGCCGTTGCACGTTTCAGGAGAGCCTTGCGTGCCATTCGGGCCCTGCCCTTAGGGCCTGCCGCCAAGGCTGCATTTGTTGCCCGCAAAGCCATGCCCATGCTCACTTACTCTGCTGAGCTCAACACGATTCCCAAGCAGCAGCTGGCCTCTCTCGCCACTGAGGTCGCCACGGTCTTGTGGGATGGTCGGCCCTCCTGGAGGTCGCGCGAGCTCCTCCTTGCCGTGGTTCACAGGGGGCGCCTTGTTCACCCGGAGTATGCCCTGTCCTACCGGGCGGTGCTCAATGTGGTCTCGCACTTGCAGCGGTCTGAAGCGTTTGCACTCAAGTGGCGGATTGCCTTTACCAATCCCCGTGTGTTGCCTTCTACTTTGGTTGCCAGCTTCATTGCCGCCGTCACCTCTTGCGGGCTTCGCTTTCAGCCGCCGGCCATGGTGGCTTTCCACTCTGGGTCCTGGATCTCTCTCTTTTCGGTGTCCGTGCGCTCCTTGCACTGGATGTCTCCTTTGCCAGGGCTCCCTGGGCGGTCCCGGCTGCCCCAAGCTGGACTTCCTTTGCCCGTGCCTTCCCTTCTGACCCTGCCATCGCTCCTGCGGTGGTGGTTGGGTCCGCGGTCACCGCTGACCGGCTCTTTTCTTCGGGCATGGCCGCTAGTCCCCTCTGCAGGTACTGCGAAGCTCACGTTGAGACAATTGGTCACTTGGCTGAATGCCCCGCCCTCCCGGCTGAGGTTGGGCTCCCCCCTCGTCAAAGGGAGTCCCAGGGCCCTTCCGGAGATCCCTCCAGACCTCGTTGCTGCTTGCTGTACTGTGGTGGAGTGGCCTGCTGTTAGTCCTGTCCCTTTGTTCCCTGTGGGCACCTCGGTCCATCTCTGGACTGACGGCAGTGTGTTCCTCCCTCAGCATCCTTTCTTTGCCGCTGCTGGCTTTGCGGTTGTCTCTCCGTCACGGGTCACTGTGGCTTCGGGGCCTGTCCCGGGCGTCTTTGCTGACAACTACAGGGCGGAGGTTTACGCCATTCTCAGGGCGGCCCAACTTGTACGGGGTTCCCTCACGGTCCATACTGACTCTCAGTCTGCGGTCGCTGCTTGGGCATCCTTTTGTTCTCTCAATCGGGTGCCCACCCATGTTGCCGCTGCTGATATCTGGCAGCTCGTCTGGGAGATTTGTGTTGCTCGTAGCCCTCACGGGTTCAGCCTGTCCCTGCATTGGATCCGTGGGCATGTGGCTATTCAGTCGCTAACCTGCCCGGTCGGCGCCATGCATGCGGCCTGTAATCATGCTGCTGACTTGGCCGCCAAGCAAGCTGCTCGTGCCGCCCTTCGGGTTGATGGTTCCCGGCTGCATGCCTTGTTCTATGCTGCCTACCGACGGCACCTGTGGCTTCAGCGGTTGCTGGCTGCCCTGCCGCGTACCCGTGTTGCTGTTGCGTTGCCCTCTGATGTTGATGCCCAACCTGCCCCCCCTCCTGTGGTGCGCCCCCCTGAACCCCTGCCGGATCCGCGCCATGGCCCTATTGCCCTGGTTGTCACACGGCCAGGCGATACATCCTGGGATGCATGGTGCCGATTTTTGGCTGAGGCGCAGTGGGAGGTCCTGCCGGAGCAGATGCAGCCTGGGTTGGAGGCCGCCCTTGTCGCTTGGCGCCGGTTTCCGCGCCTCCTGCCGTTTCGCCCTGGTCATGCGGCTACGGTGCGGGAGTTGCTGGAGCATTTTCAAGCGGCTCGACGATGCATCACACGCAGGGAGCCACTGGCGTTCCCTCGGGATTGGAGGCCCAGGCTGGGCCGCTTCGCAGGTGTCACGTGGCCTAGAGGGGCCTTTGCGGGGGCCCGCCTGGTTTGCACGCAGGAGGAGCTCGACTTTACAGCCCGGGCCCTGGCCCGGGCCCGTCGCCTCCGCCGTGTGCCCAAGGACTGGGCTTTTTCGCTCGGTGCCTTGGCCTAGCGGCATGGTGGGCTGCAGTCTTGGAGGTGGTTTGGCTTGGCAGGTGGTGGAGCTACTTCCTCGTTGTGCTCTTCAGGTGGTGGATGGATGATGGCCTCCTTGGCCTCGTGCAGGAGGCCTGGGTTCCGGTGTGGGGGGCTGGCCCTATTGCCCGGTGCCTGCGGCTGTGGTGGCGGCACTTCCTGTCGCATGGTGTCCGCCTGGGCCCGGGGCGGGGTTCTCCTCGCCCTCGGTCTCTGGCGTTGTGCAGCTTGGGGGTCCTGGCTCCCTTCTTCGCTTCGAGGATGCCACGTGCCAATTGGGTACCCTGCTGTGCGGCGGCGGGTTTCTACGGCCTGTTGGCCTCGTGCGGGTTGCACCAAGTGGGGGGCTGGCCCCCTCACTCGGTGCTCCTGCGTGTGGTGGGTGCCTTCGCGGCTTGCAGTGGCCTCCTGGGTTCCGGTGTGGGGGGTGGGTGCCCCTCACACTGGGCCCAGGTTGGAGCCTTTTCAGGCACGGCCCTGTCGGGGCTGTGCGTTTCTCAGCAGTTGTGCAGCTGGGCCCTGGCCTGCTGCGTGTGGCGGTGCTTGCCTGTGGGCTCCCCCTGGGTGCCCGCCAGGCCTGCGGATCGAGCCTGGCTCTCCGGTGTCCAGCCTGACCGGGCTTTCCAACCGGTGGTGGGGCGGTACGCCCCACTCACCAGCGCGGCCGACCGAGGATGCGCCACGAGCCAAAAGGGTTCCCTTTTTTCCCAGGGTCACTGAACAACTGAGGAAAAACAAAAAAAACAGGGCAACGATGTGACCCAAAACCCTGCCAGGGCCTTGAGGCCGCCGCGCTCCCTTCGGGTTTGCAGCGCCCCGGCGCAGAAAAAAGTCACATTTTGAGCCTTGAGCCAGGGCTAGATTCGGGGCGAGCTTCCTAGGTCCCCCCTTTTTTGGTTGGGAGGGTTCCCCTACTAAAATAGACTACAGAAAAAGGTTGGTACCCTTATTCTTACCTCTCTACTGGAGGACCTAGCTTCCTGGGAGGGATTTCTTGGGAAGATTGCATACACGGGGCTTGGTCACCGACCAGATGATTCCAGGATAAAAGGTCCCTTCATGTCGCATTCTATAAGTTCAGTTGGCTCTGTCAATTCGCCCCTTGATGGCGGGATACCTGGAAGAGGGCTTCGGTAGCCCCTCAATTTGTGACCAAATGGCTCAAGAGGATGTTCAGAGCGCTCTCCAGATGTGGGATTTAGGGTTTACTCGGCTCCCGTCTCCTAAACAAAGTAACGACCTCGGATAGATGCGTGCCCAGCTGACCCTAGCTTGAAGGGTACTAGCCAACCCTCTTCGTCTCAAATTGTGACTGAGTGAGGCGACATCAAAGCCGCCCCTCTCTGCAGGCACCTGGCCAGAGATGCCAACATGGGCGTCTTCTTCTGTGAGGATCCTGCGAGGGTACCCTTTTCCCTATAAACTTCAAGGGCATCCAGATATCTTAGTCTTTTTTGGCCGGGGGGCCCATGTCCTATTCTGAGACACCCCCCCAAGCAGGAGTTCACCCAATGGGGTTGTAAACCTTATAAGCCTCTAGTTTCGAGGCTTACAACCCTTACCAAATTGAAGCGGCCAAGTGAAGCAGAACCCAGGTGACCCCTTTCTGGGTATGTGTCAGTTGTCAAAACCGGGGACTCCCAAAATGTTGGTGTTCCCTCCGGTTTTCCTTCGAACCAAGCTGAAAGGGGACACACACACACACACACAGGGACATACAGTACAAACACACCAACTCACAAACACGAACACACACATGCACAAGCAACCACACACACAAACATAAGTACACACGCACAAACTCAGAGACACTCACAAAGGCGACGCGCACACACACACCCATACACAAATATGCAAACATGTAAGCACACAAAAACAAAACACCCACTCGCAAACCCACAAGCACAAGCACAAGCACAAAGACACACACACACACAAAATTGTCGCCAGGGTACTGTTGTTGGCAGAGTGTAGACGCAATCCACAGTTCCAATCTCATTTTGAAGTGCACAGAAATGGACATGGACATCTCTGTTCCTATGAAGGGGCTTCAAAAGGACCACCCAGTGAGGTTACAGGCTGAGCAAGCTGGTTTGGAGGGCTACGCCCCCTCTCACTTCCTGAGTTCCTGGGGCTATTTTCTGGGCCCCAGTTGGCGAGCAAATTCCAGAAGGTTTTGGGTAAGTTGGTAAGCCACGGCGGTGTTCTAGGGTTTGGTTCCCCATTCTTTTCAACCATCGCTCTTTCCAAACACCGGATTCGTTTTCCTTGGGTTTCCGGCAGGTGTTCTAGACTCCGGATCGCTGGGTTAAGAACGGACATGCAAGGTACCCCTAGAGGCGCGGATTTGTTTGGTCGCCTACTTTCCGGAACTTGCCACGCAACGCCCGCCACTTCCGGGAGAATTTTGCGGGTTCCGCCGCGCGGCGCGGGATGTGTTGGGTGATCAAGGCGCCTGAGCTTCGGGGACTCCTTCAACCAGCCTCTGGGCGAGCTGCCGCCGGAGCTGCGGAGCTTGAGCTTCGGCGCGGCCTTTGATCAGCCTCTGCCGCTTGGGCCGAGAACGGGGCCCACAGAGCCCAATCTTTTTTTTTTGGTCGGGCCCGGGGATGGGGGGGGGATGCGGTGGTTGTTTTTCTTGGGTGGTTGGCGTTGGCAAATGGGAAAAAGGAGGGGTAATTTTCGGCGGGAGTCTATGTTCGAACTCCCAGGCCTTAAGGTTCCCTTCTGGGACGCATTCTGAACCTGCCAGCGTGCATAGTTGAGAGGCCTGGGACCTCGCAATGCCAGGGCCACCGGCCACCCATCGTAAGTTGATTCCTGGCATGGAGAGATGTCTTGGCCAATTGGGGAACGCCATGTGCCTCTGGTGCCGGCTTGAGACAGCGTGCAAATCCATGCGTTGCCAATGTAAGTATGCACGCACCGGGGGGGGGGGGGTTTCCGGGGCCTGGCGATGCCAGCTTTTGAGGATATCGCAGCTCTTTTTTTTTTTTTTTTATCGGGGGGGGTCCAGTGGAAGTGGCGTGCTTGAACACGGAAGCTCTGCTAAATTAGAACTTCCTGAAACTCATGGTCATTCCTGAAGCCAAGAAGACCCAGAGAAAGGGCTGTTGGAGCGGGGCTTGCCAGGAGGTTCTATGTGAGTGCGCAAATGCCATGTTTTTGGGTGTATCTTGGGGGGTCTATGCAGGCGCCATGCTAGTGGTGTCCCGTGATGTGGGAGGGCGAAGGTTGGAGGTTCCACGTCGGTGTAGGCATGGAGTGATGCGTGCTGTTTAGTATAGGCATAGAACCTCCGGTGCTGTCGAAAGCCCTTGAAATAGCAGCCGCCAACATGGACACTAAGCATCACGAAGGCTACCTGCTGAACAGGGCATGTCTTAAAAGAAAGACATGTTCGGGCCTGTTACCCCCAACTGCCAAGGTCTGCGGTGCTCCATGGTAGCAAAATTCCAGGCACGCAGGAGGTTCTATGTTAGTGAGTGCCGTCCTCATTTTACACGGGAGGTTAAATATATGTTTGTTTTGAAGCTGCGCATAGCTGTCCCGAGTATCCCAGGCAAACAACGGAGCCGGCCCCCCCCTCCCCCCTCCCCTTCCCCTTCCTCCCCCGGAAAACGGGTGGAGACGCGGAGTTGAAGCAACGGGTCGTCCGAGGCAGGGCGTGGCGTTGCCGGCGGCGCTGCGCAGCTTGAGCTTCGGGGACTCCTTCAACCACAGCCTGGAGGACGTAGCGCTGCCCGCGCTGGAGGCGCAAACGAATCTCTTGGGTAGCGCTTGGTGGTACTGGCTTGGGGGGGATGAATGCCCTCTTGGACCTATGACAGTCAGTAGCCTGCGTTATTTTGCTCAATCACCTGGCGGGTGATTATTTGGTCATAGGAACGTTGGGTGTGCCGGCTGGTATTCAAGGGAGGGCAGAAGGAAAAGGCCTCAAGATGAAGTCGTGAGTGGCCAGCTTTGGACCTGCCAGCGCAGCTTTACGTCGGAATCGCTTCCAGGGGGTGATGTAGCTGCTGCAAATGCGGACATATTTGTGCTGGAAGGGTCAGCCGTTGAAGTTTCTCGCAATTGCTTCCCCTTTTGGGTGTAATGCCGGGGCGTGAAATGAAACAACCCCGGAACTCACTTGGACTCAACCAACATCATTTTGGACGCCCCTCAGCCAAGCGGGTGGCAACTGATTGTGCCCAAATGGAGAAGTGGTCTGGATGAGCCAGCCTTGGAGGCAGTCTTGGAACTTTTCTTGGTCTGTAACAAACATACCCGGGGAAGCGGGCCGCATAAGCCGGGGAATCCCTCAAGGGGCTTCCTAGGTTTCTTTTTGTTTTAAGCATCCACTTGCTGCTTGCCAATGGATGTGAGTGTTGCCATGAATGTTTGAGGGAGAAAAGCTAGAGCTACGAATCTGCACTGCTCCAAGCGAGTGTAAGCCGAGCCACTTCTACACCGCGATGATTGTGTCAGGGTTTAAGTCATGGGCAGTCTTGACTGCTATTGGGTTGGATCTTTAGACTTTAACAAATTGGGAAAAATAACAATGTTTTCCACTAAACCCCCCAAAAGTTAAACTTTTTGCAGGGGGGTCAACAGCAACCAAGCAGTCTCATGAACATTTCAGAGCCACTTCCCAAGTGTCTGCTCTTCAAAGCTTCTGTGAAGCTCGTGTTAAAGAGTAAGCAGCAAGTCAGTCAGTCAGTCAGTCAGTCAGTCAGTCAGTCAGTCAGTCAGTCAGTCAGTCAGTCAGTCAGTCAGTCAGTCAGTCAGTCAGTCAGTCAGTCAGTCAGTCAGTCAGTCAGTCAGTCAGTCAGTCAGTCAGTCAGTCAGTCAGTCAGTCAGTCAGTCAGTCAGTCAGTCAGTCAGTCAGTCAGGCTGAGAACAGTTTTTTTTAATTGCGCAATGTTGGGGAACGTATGCGCTGACTGAACCTCCTGAACTCGTTCCCTTTGCAGAATCGCTCGCAGGCGTTGAGCTTCGGCCAATACTTTCGGCAAAGTCTGGAGGCTGTAGCGCTGCCCCAGACTTTGCGCGTGCTGCGAACCCCGCAGTGCACTATCGATTGCGTGTACGATCCAACAAGGGCGGCCGGGGATCGGTTGGTGGATTGCGTGCTTGCTTGGCTTGGCTTGGCTTGGCTTTGCTTTGCTTTCTTGCTTGCTTGCGTGCTTGCTTGGCTTGGCTTGGCTTGGCTTGGCTTGGCTTGGCTTGGCTTGGCTTGGCTTGGCTTGCTTGCTTGCTTACTTGCTTGCTTGCTTGCTGCAAGCAGTGGCTTGCAGCAGTAAGCAATTGCGAGGCGTGAGAGCAGGTGTGCACAACCGGCCTGTGCAAGTTGCATTTGGAGACCTTGTCATTTATACGGTGGCTTGAGAACCAAACAATAGGACGACTTAATCGAGAGATGGTTGGGATCCCTTGTGGACTTTTAGATGGCGAAGTCATGGGTAGGGTGGAAAGGTGCCCGTTTGGGTTGTTGTTTTTCCCAGGAAACTTCTTTTATTTGTCTTGTTTCTGGGCAAACCCCCGATTTTTTGGGCATAATCCCATGGTGCGAACTCCCAGAGCAGGCCTAGCCATTCGTCCGTCCGACTGAGGCTTCGCAATTTTCATCGCCTGCGGCTCCGAGCACTCGGCCCCTTTGGTTGCACGAATAAACATCCCGCGGTTCTAAGTGCCCCCTGGTTTTAGTGGGGGTTTCATCACTTTTGGAGCGCCCTCCAGCCCCATATATTCATAAACCCTTCCAACAAACATCGGGAGGGTGTTCCTCCAAACATGATACATCCCCACAGAAAAGGGGGCAACATGCGTTGGAACAATCGGACCCTGGTCGAGGACTTGAACTCCAGGCGGCCCAATCTGGGTACATATCCGCAGCATAAAAGCCATCAGGCATACATGGCTTCCCCAGAATTAGCTCCCCTGTTTGTTCTCTTTTCTGTTTTGGGGTCCCTTTGTTCTCCACGGGATGCAGCCATTTAAGCCGAAGCCCCACACGGAGAATGTTTGGGGAAGGATCCTTGGGGGTCAATAAGAATGCAAGCAAAGATTATTTGCAATACTTGGGACATCCCTGTACCCCCAAATCACCGCGAGTTGGCCGGCAGATATCGAAGAAATTGGCTGAGAAGAGAGCGCAAGCCACAGGCATGACGACCCGGGCCCCATGGTTTTTACTGATAAAGCCCGAGTTTCAAGTTAAGTTTTGGTTTCCTTATAAAATCAGTCGTTTGTTTTGGACGCCTCTGGGGATTCGCCATTGGAAAGTGCTAACGTGACAACAGAGTGCTCAGAGAGTTCAATGGGTGGAATCCAGAGAGGCATCCCATGTAGGACGTCATGACCCTTCAGGGCATCGTATCGTAGCTCATGTTTTGTCCAGAGCTCGCCGAGGCTGTCCTCAGCGAGCAGGGCACCGCCGGGAACCCGAGGGTGGGCTGAGTAGCTCCTCGGAGGAAAAAAAACCCTTGCATAGACAAAGAGGCGCGCAAGTACCCAACAAACACTGTGGCCTTTGGCGGGCTCGCGGGATAAAACGGGCTCACCATTTGCTGCAACATGGCTGGAGCGCAGACCAAACCATGTTTGTTTGGCAGGTAACTGTTGTTTTGGACGCTTTTTGAGAGAGAACCCTGGGATGACGGTTTTTGGGCTCCGAAAGTGCACTTTTGTTTGAGCGTTAGGTGGTGGATCATGGCAGGGTTTCCATGCACCACTGGCGGAGTTTCGCAAGTGCTTAGCGTTTTTGCGGCTCCAGCCTGGGTCTGATTCTGAAAGAAGGTCTCCCCACGTCGGGGGGGTTTTCAAAGGCGAGTCATCATGTGTTATACGTGCGCTATATATGACCTTTTGTCCTGGCGTGAGCCACCGCCAAGATTCGCCGCGTGCCTAGCTGGCATGAAATTTTGGGTGAGTGCAACAAGTCTGACGTAGGGAGTAACCTTTGGGCTGCCTGCAGATTGTTTTCCAGCGCGTTTTGGTCTGCAATTTTGTAGGCTTGTTTTGTGTATTTGTGTGGGTGCTTGTCTTCTTGTTTTGTTGGAGCATTCGTTGCCTGACACTGCTTGGCGATTTCTTTGTGGCGCAGTTTCTGGCCCGGTCTTCAGCCGCGGGCAAGATGATAATGCGGCAGCCCCCTGTTTCATCACAGCACCCTGACTCACTTGCCCAAAGCCGAGCTTTTGACCTTTTGTCTTGTTTTGGGTTAGCCGAGGGTTTGTTTCCTTGGTTGGTTTACCTAGGGTCTGTGTTTGTGTATGGTGCATAGTGTGTGGTATGGGGTGGGGGTGGCAGGGGTTTCATGAGACGAACGTCGCGTTCCTCCCGGTCTGCAGCTTGTTTCCTCTAAAACCTCTTGGAAGGCGGCAAAGAAAGTCACCAGTCCAATCAAACGGGCACGTTTGTGTGGGGTGCGCGGTGCGATTTGGCCTTTGCTGGTGGGCGTCGTGACCTGAGGTTCCCACCTGCTCACTAGGTGGTGTCGCCCCACTGCCTGAACCCGTGTCAGGTTGGCACTTGCACCTATCAGTTGTTCGCTCCAAACTGGGTCTGGACTTCCGACTGAGGCCATTACCTTTGGCAGCAGCCACGACTTCCGGCTGGGCCGAAGGCAATGGATTGGGCCTGCGCAGCGGCAATACTGTGGATGGTTGCGAAATCCAGTTCGCGCCACCTAAGAAACCCTAGAATGATTCGATTCCCCTGTTACGAACGGACAATGGTTTCAACCCTGGTTTCATTTCGTGTTGCGATTTCGGAGTTCGCAACCATCCGCAATACGGGGCATTCCTGGCATTGGGGAAGCATGGGTTTTCGAGCTTAGGCCTTCATAAATCACTGGTTGATTAGGTTGTGTTCCCTGGCAATCCCCCCCCAAATGACCAAACCCATGAGCCAGTTGGGATCCCATGACTTTGAGTAGTTCAAGGCATGCCGAAGGAGGGAGGCCCTGGCCAGAAGGAGGGAGGCCTTGGGAACGCGAGAGGGTGTGCTGTTTTTGCCATGGGGAAACCTGTTGGTCTTGTGGTTTTTGGTTTCTAAAAGTGCTCCCATTTCAACCACCCACTTGCTCAGTGGCGCCCTGTTTTTCCGTCTTTTGGGAAGGGTTCCCCTTTGATTTAATTCATGCCTAGCCCTTCCCCTTAGTGGGACGGCCTGACTTTTGGCTTCGGCCAGGATGTGGGCTCCACTCACTCCAATTGGGGGGGGTGGGGTCTTGAGCAATGTGGCGGAACCAACCAAAAAAGGATGCCCTTTTTTCCCCATGGGCACTGGGCATCTGAGACCAGCAAAACCACCTTTTTGCAGGGTCACGGGTATGATCACCTTGGGGAGGTCATGCCCGTGCCTTGCATATGCGCACGGTCGGCCACAAAGCTCGACGGGCCATTTTACCAAAGGCTTCAAAGGATCTCAGACGCGCCAATGCTCAGTTTGGCATCCACATTTTTTCGGGCAGAGATGTGTCCACTGAAGCGCTTTGAACCCTTAGCTCTTTGGGTTCAACTGCCTGCAGCTTTGCTTCGCAACTGGTTGCGCCCACTTGGCTCCGGGTTTGAGGCCCCAGAAAGTTTGTTTTGTATTCCCAGGTGCTTTGGGCAAACAAAAGTTTCATGCGCTTCGCCAGAGGGTTGGCGTTCAGTTGGGGCAGGGTGATGGCCCAGTCGCAGGGCTGGGTGTGCCGCGGATTCGGGCGCATGAGTTTGTGCAACAAGCTGCATGACAACTGACAATTCTCTCAGGTGGACCGTATATCCTTTGAAATGTCGCCGTGCAAAGACACTCAACCCGCCCGGCCTAGTTCAGGGCAAGCTGATTCGACTTCGCTACACCTGTGGCCCTTTGGCCGCTTTAAGCTCTCGTCTCTTTGGCTCTTTGTCCCTGCCGATCCAACCTTTGCAGCCGGATGTTCTCGCCAGTCTTGGCTCGAGAAAGCGGTCACAACTCTTTCAGCTCAAAGCCTCAAAGCTTGGTTCGCAAGGCCCCTCGGCTTGCACAGGAGCCCATCCGGGAATTGGAGCCCATCCGGATGGCCGGATTTGCCGGATTTGCCCTGTGCAACAGAAAACCCCCGGCTGGTGGGGGTTTTCTGTTTTGCATTCATGTGGGGGGGATTTTGGGAATGGGAGGTTCCGATGTCCGCAGTCTTTGGGTCACAAAGCTGCCCGAAAAGCAGCAGCCTGCACCAAGCCATAGTTTTTGTGTGATGGAGCGTCCTCTAGCAGGGGCTGTAATGACACATGTTCCCAGCAGCTGTCAGTTAGATGTGCAACAATTGGAAGGGGCATGGAGGAGTTGGCATGCGTGGCTCGGTTTCGGGCTGGGGAACGGGAGGCCGAGAACAGCGGGCGCTCCAATGATGTTGACTCCGGACCCTCCAGATTTGCATCAGGGAACCCTAAAAGCTGTCCGTTCTAGACGAAGCTCCTGCTGGGCAACCCGCCATGTGGTTGGAACCCACCTAAGTACTGGGCCCTTCCCCTGTCCAGGCCCTTGGTTCTCCGAAAAAACTGCCAAAAGTGCCGTTCGGGTGTTCAGTTGGCTTTCCAAGTGCGTCTTGGTTCTTTCTGAAACTATGGACCCGGAATCAAAACGGTTCCAGCCGAAAGCCCGCAAAGCGAGATCCGCACTTCCCACCTGAGGTCAGCATGATGAAGCTCACAGCGGCCTTCCTCCTTCTTGGTGTGAGCCCCTTGCTGCAAGAACCCGCATGCCGAAACGGCCCCTTTTCGGCCCTTCACCCCCCACCAGGTCACCCGGCCGGTGCAGCAAAGAAAACCATCGCAGATGGGTTTGCCCGTGGTAAACTTCAGTCGCTCTCGTCATGCTTTTAGCCAAGGCTCGAAAAGTTGGATCGTCAACCCGGCAGACCTCTCACTGTGCAAACTTGAGATAGCTGGGGTGCAGTTGAGATAGCTGGCGTGTTTCTGTGGCAAGACCGCCATATGACAAAGTATACGCGCTTGTTGTCAGCATGTTGTAGCGGAGCCCACATCCAACAATGTGAAGGCCTGCTATTTTGGCACTTGGCATTCCTGAATTTCAGTTTTGCTTGCCGATCTACCCACTCGTTGCCAATCTGTTTGCCATGTACTCTCTTTTGATCTCTTTCCGGGGGCCGTCTGAGCATCTAGGACCATTACTGTTTCCCCACTCGGGGTTTAGGACCAACCCATTGTCATGGTTGTTGTTGGGAAACATGTTTTCCATTTTTGCTTATTGTGGTTTAGTGGGAAATCCCGACTTAACTGCAAAAAATTAAACTTTTGCTCCCCTTCCAACGTCAACCAAGGTGTCCTGGAAAAGAACAGAATTCTTTTCCTACATGGGCTGTGGGTTCTTTGCGGGGGGGAGGGGGAGTTGGCAAGCCATGGGCCGAGCTTGGCAGTCTTGAACGCCGGCAGGAAAAACGCCAGCTTTTCGGGAGTGCAGCGTGTCCTTTGGGTCCTGATGGGCCACACTTGGCAGGCAGGAAATCCTTTGATTTGGTGGTTGAAAACCTGGTTGCTTTCCAGAGTCAAAGGGGGGGGGAAACCCCCACACCGTGGCCTCCCAATCGATCTGATGTAGCTGCGCGCACGATGAAAAGTCAGACCTTGAGAAGAAAAGCGTGGGCTTTGGTTGGGGGCCTTGCCTTGTGGCATCGAGGGACTGCCTCTCGAAGCAACGCCAGCTGTAACGTACATGTTCATAGATCCTAAAACAACCATTGGGGTTTGGGGTTGGGGGGGTAGGGAGGGAGGAATCTGAAAAACGCAGCCCCCAGAAAGAAGTGGTGGTGGTGGTGGTGGTGGTGGTGGTGGTGGTGGTGGTGGTGGTGGATGACCCGCACTGAAAAAGGAGGGGTAGACTCCGAGTGGGCCTTGCGGCTCAAGAGTTGTCGAGGCATCGCCTCGGACGTGGAGGAGGCCTTGGCGACCTGTGGGGATGAGGATTGCGGCAGCGCGGCGGCAAAAACCCGATGAGACCTCCGTGGTTACCTTGGTTTTCCCTCCAAGCCTTCCCAAAATGCCAAGCCTATGGCTGAGACCATGGTTTCATGGCTTTCTTTCAAAGTCTTCCCGAAAAAGGCCGTCTATTCTATGGCTGGAGGTTTCCGAACGTGACTTTGTCTCGCCCAGGCCCACGGCGTTCTTTTCCTGCATTAGAGCGGTAAGAAGTTCGGACTCTCTTTGTTCATCCACTCAAGAAGGGAGTTGCTTTTTGTTGTTTTCCCGTCGCATGTTGTTTGTTGTTTTTCCAGGGTGCCTTTTGGTCTCTCATTTTTTTTGGGCCCCTGAGATAGCATTTGCTTCTTTTGCTTGTTTCTTTTCATATGTTGGTCCTTTGTGTTTTTCCTATCTCCACTTCTTTCTGCTAGACCTGCCCTGAAGGGCTAAAATGCGTGATATTGGCGTGTCAATTCCCAGTTATGGATCTTGAGGCTGGGCAAGGTGTAGCTT